AGGAATAAAGAGGAGGTCGCCCACTGAAAGCAATAAAAGCAAACAAACAAACTAAAAGGATAAAAACAGTTACGGTGCTGTACCCATGCGACCAAGCAGGACGGCAGCGGCTCGTCGGGGAGCAAAGAAAAAAAGGACCGACGGACCCGCATGAGTGGAGTTGTGTATATATACGAGCACATTATGTGTTGTCTGCCTCGTGGGGCGAGGCACGGGCGAGAGAGTCCGTGCAGGGAGACACAGAAAAGGAAGAGCTGCGTGCACACGGCCCTCCGCCCCCCTCACTCTCACTCAGTCCCTCACGCGGCCACCATCGCAGCGGCAGCCGCACACGCAAGCAGAAGAAGCAGCGCAAGGGGGGAGGTGGAGTGCGAGGCCGCGGCGCTGCTGTCACCGTCGCTGTCGCCGGGCGCAGATTTTTTTGCACTCGTCAAGTTGGTAGTGGTCGCCGCCCGAGCAGCCTCCCCCGCTGCGCCATTCGTGTTGGCGGCCTGCTCTGCTGGCGCTGCCGCCTCCCCACTGGCTGCGGGCGCAGCAGCAGCCCCGCCAGGTGGCGCATTTTGTGGCGCCGCGGCACCGGGTGTTCGAGTGCCCTCGCCAACGTCCCCTGCGCTCCCTGTGGCCCGGCCGCTGGCAGGAACACCAACACCCGGAGCAGCAGACGCGGTGGATTGTTGCTCGCTGCTGCCGCCAGCGGGTGGATTCCCTGCGGCTGCGGCAACTGTCTCTTCTTCTCGCGCTTCTGCCGGACCCTCGCTGGGGCTCTCCGGCCGCACATCTTCCTGCCGGGTCTGAGCCGCCGCCGGCGGTTGCGGCGAGGGTCGAGATTCCGCTGCCTGGCGGCCCTGCGGCGCCGTCCCGTGCGGCTCTCCTGCGGGTGCAGAGGGAATTGGCGCTTGAGGGCCCACGCCACCGCTGGCACCTCCGTCCGCCCGCCCAGTCTCACCGGCACGTGTGGAAGCACCGGCCCCTGCAGCCTGCAGGCCGCCGGCGGACGCACCGGTTGAACTTGCGGCATGTTTACTTCTAAACTCCGCTGCATAAGTTTCGTTGTGCTTACACTGCTCACGCAGGAGCTCGTCGAGGGTCTTACTTGAATTCAGCAGCATCAGAAACTTCAAGTTGCTCTCCGTGCAGTAGTCCATATGCCACGCCCAGCCCCCGCCGGCGGCGCAGCACAGCGCGCAGAGGGCGCACACCAACAGCAGCGCACGGCCAGCCATCGTCTCTCTCGTCACTTGTGTGTGGCCTTGAACACAGACAATCTCCCCTTCAACGCAGAAAAGAGAAAAAGTGAGACAAGCCGCACCGCCACGCCCACAGAAGAAAATAACGTGCCGCGGAGCCCAGTAAGACGCACACAAACAGGCCGCAAGCAGGTGGGCGCAGCAGGAAAAAC